TTTTTTTGGAGCTTGTCTCAGTTATGAGTCTCGTAATTTGCACTTTCGCCCACCTCATTCCGATGACTTGATGTCAGATGAAAACTCGTTCTGCTTTGTAACTCGACTCTTATAGGACACTGCACTTTATTTCATGCAGAAACTCTTCTATATTGAATGGAAAAAATAATTTAGTGGATTTGCTTATCAAAAATCACTTTTTTCCTGTTGTCCTATCTAAGACATGTAGTGAAGCGGGATTTTAGTAAATTTGCTTATAAAAATTACTTTTTTTCCTAATAGGTAACATGAACAACGAGCAGTATTTGCGATTATTAATAAAAAAAAGCATAAAATTTAAATTAGGTTGGGCACCCCTCCATCTTTATTCCTTAATTGTATCGCGCAAAAACTTTAAGAGACTTACATGGATTATGAAATTGTGCAAGTGACTTGTTTCTATTGTTGATCAAAATGAATTTTGAAATTTTGCGAATCATGTTAAGTTTGTAGTTGGAAACTCCGTTGAAATTTGGAAGAAATGTGTAATCCTGCCTTTTCATAAGAAAATTTTCTGTCGAGTCTCCTCAAACGAAGTCTCCCCCCCCCCCCCTCTAGTATGCAGGTACAAATGGTTGCAGAATTTGGCCGAATAACTACCAATGCGCGATATTTCGGATGTACCAGGTATAAACACACCCATTTCACTTTTGGGCAGCAAAGGCCAATTTCTTGAGAAACCGTCCCTACGTCTTCTTTCGACTCGTCAAACTACGGGCATTATTGCAAAAGCTAATTCACTGACCTACTATAAAGTTCTCTCGATGTCATTCGAGATGAAACGCAAGTGAAAACTTAATCAAATGGAAAAAGTGGTTCAATTAATAGTACACAGGAATTGTGCGTAATTCGCGATATTTTAAGATTAATCCCTTAGCTTCACCTAACCCGCCCTTCATAATATTCATCTACAAGCATTTAGTTGCGTTTTCCGCATTTTGATTGTGCGCATCTTCATAATTGTGTCGTCAACAGCGTCTTAATGAAACCACTAAGCTATTTTTATGCTAGGGCCGTGCAAAGCGTACAAATATACGTCATTCTGCATTTTTTAGCAATCTTATGGTCCTTGGGATTAGGTGGTGTGGGTTGGCTTCTCACCAAGATACTTCGAAAAGTGCTTCATGAGTTTAAGAGCAAACTCCTTCCAATAGTCAAGCACCGAACGAAGTTGTTGAAGCAAACTATATAAATGGCATACTAATTCAAGATAAATGAACTTTTGATACTTCTGGTTCTTCGTTAAAAAATTTCATGTTTTGGCTTTTGTCTTCATCTGAGGGAGAGAGGCTGGAATTATATCTCAAAAGAAGAGGAACTAATTACAATGCTACCTCAGACATGCATAGAACAGTCTAACGGTCTATTCAAACACCACTTGACATTCTGATAATGCAATTTTTGAGAATTCGCTTGTCTACATGTTAGTGATCTTTGCCCTGCGTAACATTTTTTGAAAGAGATATTTGTGTATATTTTTTTCATGAAGAATAGCTTTCGCCATATGTTCAGTCATAACTCTGAAAAAACACTTGACACCGACATAGTCTACTATTCAAAGCATGAGCATGCATAGCTAAGTACTGCTCAAGCGAGCAAAACATGTTTGAATTTCGTTCTTGCTCGAAATGGTCAGCACTGTGTTGAGTTGCTAAAAACTTCCTGTTCTTAACTTAATGGCTACAAGGAGCGACAAAATCGGCGTTTAATTGTTAATGATATTCTACTATTCGTTCCATCTCTAGTTCTGTCGCAGATACCCTCCCCGAATGCACTCTTTCATGGAACTTGGTCTACCAAACTCCTTACTATATTCTTCAGTCGTATTCGAAGGAGTCCTATTGCTAAGATAATCCTGATCTGAAAAAACTAGAAAGCTTTTGGAAGCTCTCAACCACAGCATTTGCGTAAAAAACTCCTTATCCTTCCTCTCCCCCTCTTTTCTTCACTCCATTCTCTTCGCCACCGTTTACGGCAGATACAGCTATTCTTCCATAATCGTGTTATTGTTGATTCTTTATGACCTATTTTATTATTTCGAGTCCGCCACAAATGTCTAAGTTTTCTTTACAAAAATTACTATCGCAAGGGTAAACGCAAAAACTATAAAACAAAATTATAATTAGATTGCTGAGGTGATACCAGTGTAAATTCCACAGCACTACGATTTTTGAATTGTTGATTCTGGAGCCTGCTTGGAAAAGTGCCACAAACGAAATAAAGCGCTTACACTAATATCATTGGCTCAACTTGTGGTTACGTTGTTGCTCATCACCATAGAAAAAACATAATAGAAATAATAGAAAAAACATCAATATGCATAGAAATCTCCTTTTCTGCATTTCCATTTTCCAGGTTCTAATTTCCGTGCCCATATTTGATATCCTATGCAATGAGATTTCACTTCAGTGCCAACTCATTCCTCTGCTTAATTCCGCTAATAATTTCGTAATTTCTGTCATCTCAGCTGCGTGGCTAAAAGCACTACTTTACTTATGTGATTTCTAAAAAGCTCGTTATCCCAAATGTGGTCTGTCAATATGTCTTTTTAGTCGAATTAGTAGAGTTAACGACAGTGGTAAAGAGGGCCCTCTAATGGTTTTGAAAAGGGTGATTGGCTCGCTCAATAGGTATGTCACTTCACTGAAGGATGACACCATAAAATACCTAAAAGGCGATCTAGAGATGGCAGAATTTGTTATATCTACCATATTCCTTATGAGAACGTAAACTGGGATGGAACACGATTATTTACAAAGAGATAAAAATGATGGCAAATTTTCACACGAAAAATATGCCCAATGTTTCAAAAAAAAGAGCCAAGAGATATAATACTGACTCGGATTATTTTATCTTTGACCAATCTAGCCGATCTTGTCAGCGACAGTCATCGGAGGCCTGCGGCACTCATAGAATTGTATTCCACATCCCTCTCAACTGGAACGCTGTGGACGAGGTGAATTTTCAATAAGGAAAATTCTGCAAGATTTGCCTCATTGGTGATGTTAGTAGTAGTCGAGAAAATAGTACCAATGACGCAAACGATTAGAATCTAATGCCAAAAAGTGTGCAAAATGTTGCTGTCGTCAATAGAATACTAATACATGTAGTGTGGTTAGTGCAGGTTGGTATTTCACTCTGACAGTTCTCCGAAGCGTTTTCAGTCATTCTATCCCTTTGATGGTCTACCTTCATATCTTCCAGATGCTCAGACTCTGCTGATGGAATTATTGTGCAATAAAATTATGACTAGGGAAGGACGACTAAAGACCGTTGGACCAAAAAACACCTGGTGCACTTACATCACTTTCTCGCGCTCAAAAAGCACATTTTCTGACTTCTGTTACTCTGTGAAACCCTACTATTACTCTAACAAACGATTTTTCAGTTACAATATTAGCATAGAAAAAATATTGTTTGGTGGCAAGCTTTTTGTGTTCTCTTGCTCTGTTAAGTGCTTGTATCAATAAAAAGACAACGCTGTAGATTTTTAGACGTTCATAAGGTTAGCAGTTTTCCATTCTCTCATATATCCCTCGCTGGGCGTGGTGATTTGCTTTTTTGATTACGAAAAGCTTGAACAGTTTATTTCTTGAAAACGCTAACGATTGAACCGAAGGTTCTAGCCGATATGATAGCTGAAAGATTTCTTGCTTTTGCCAACATCGACAACACCAGACTAAATTGGAACTCGTTTTGTTTTACATACATACCTTCGGGTATCGCAAAGCTAGCTGTTTTTAGTCAACACTCCATATCTAATTTAGCTGTAATCTTCCAGTGTTCTGTTTTTCGTAAAAAAAATTGTAGATAAATGGTAGATGTAGAGGAAGCGCAGAAAAATAATCGTGCTACAACTATTAAGATCAGTCTAAAGTCCAGCGGAAACCAAAAAAACTGCATTTCAACGATATTTGATTGCGCTAAAGGATCAATATAATTTTGCTTTGTATGTGATCTTTCGTCAGTTGTACCTCCGTTCCGCAGTAGTGAGAAGAGCGATCGCTGACAAGAAATGTGTACGAACGTAATTACGCTTGCACTTGCGTCCGGATCTTACGCCAGAGTATAGATACAAAGGGGATGATGCCGTAGTCCCTAGGTTTCGGATTAGGGTAAGATCGTTGTTCTCACACCTCCTATGAGAAAAATATGAGAAAAAAACTTGCAAGTGCTTTTTTTGCTACCTCTCTGACTCGGAGGGCGCAAAACTGCGTGCGATTTGCTGGGAAGCTAGTGCTGGAGCCGTGCTGGAGCCGCGCTGGAGCCATGCTTGCACGCAGGCGACTATGCACCTGTCGAATTAGTTTTGATGTTTTTGGCCTTTGTCTGCACATTCGATCGCGCAATGCTACTGCAGTGCATCGAATACTTTATGAGAAGGAAATTGAATAGATGCTATTCTAACAAATTCCAGTGATTTCGTAATTATTCCAAGAAATTGAATAGGGAATAACATCCTTAAGAGCTTTTTTCAATTCAGATTTGATGCAATTAAGTTGAAAGATTTTGAGTTGGTAACGATTCACTTGCGCAAAAAAATCTAGTAGAGCATTCCAGGGACTTATCAGCGCATATTTGGAGAGAGTTATAACTGCTCCTCTTCTTCTACCACAAAATTTCCCTGCTTGCCTTAAATTCATTCCACTCATATATGCAAAAAATAAAATAAAATACAATACTTTGGATGACAAGATAGCGCGCAAAACAAAAGCAGAGCCCCGCTATGGATTGCATTCCTCTTCTTGACATTATTTCATAAAATTTTCCATTTGATTTATACTATTCTCTTGCATAATGAATTACTCCACTGCTGATGTCACGGTGCAAACTACATACTAGCCTTTTGCCTCATTACAACTTTTCATCACTTCTTCAGAACACAGTTTTTTCTGTCCTCAAGCTATATGCGACTGTTCTTATGTCATAATTTGTGAAAAAATGGCACAGCTCTTTTTTTAGGGTTCACATTTCTATGGCATCATTGAGTACATTTCTGCTGCTCTGCCTAGCGCTGCTCAGTGTTGTACGAGCTGGGACGTGGCTTGCATTTAGTAAGCAACAGCTTTTTTTTAAATGGAATTTTTATTAGACTTTTTTTGCTTTTTTGCCCTCCTTTAATACATGCCTAGTAATCGCGTCCAACAGAAATATGTGAAAAACGTTATCACATTGCTTTATTTGCATTAGAACATCAATGTAGAAACTGAAACTACGTTAAATACTTTCACTGAGAGTCCGAAAATGCTGTTTTTACAATATATTTTTATCGATTTTCTACATGTATTTATGCACTAAAAATGGCCAATTTCAGACGACATGAGAGAAGCGCCAGTTGATTATCCAATAAGAACACCTATCGATATCGTTGATGTTTGCAAAGAGCAGGTTAGTTTACTGGTTACTTTCCATGGATTGAAGAGACCTAGTCCAGGATAAAGAGCGGAAACATATTATCGGTAAACGGCACGAACGCTGGCGTCGATCTAAACATTGCCAGAACATGCGCGTGCATACAAGCCGATGACGCGCCGCGCACGCTTCGCTTACATCGGCATCCGCCTTCCTCCGATACTAAACTTGATTACTCGATGACGTCCAGTCCGCGTGTCGAGGAAAAACCATGTCTTGAAATGAGTAATGGTACATGTTAGGTAAATGATCCCTGATGAGGGCGGCTGGATAGAGCGAAGCGGTTGCGAACGGCGTGTTCGAGCACCTTTCATCATTACAGCTCGTACACTGCGCACGTCTCGCGTAAATGGACTACCGCTTTCGTCTCGGACTAGTTTTTATTTGCAATGTTGTTGTATTGTTTTTGGATGGAAACGGAATTAGTTATTTATGGCAAAATCTTAACAAATTCATTCTCTTTCGAGCTCCCCTCGCCCTCAATTTTTCTCGGGCGAATAACTCAAATTACTGAATTCAATCTGGAGATGAAAAAAAAACATCATAGTTATTTTGAGAACATATTGGTTAGTCTCAAAAGCCTGCTATTTTTTCTTCAATCAGACCGCAAGTTTTTTTTTTTTAAAGAGTGCAGATGTATGCTAATTTTGGCTAAAGAGATGGGCGGCACTCACTTTCGTCGGCATAAAACATCTTCACTAGAAAAAACTCCTTTCCTTACATATTCGCACTGAATTCTTCAAGAATTTCACATCCTTTTTCAGCAGAGGCGACTAGAGAAGCGAGCCGAGCATCACATATTGACGAGAGCGGAACGCGAAAATAGTGACATGTGCCGATTTTTATTACGAATGGTGGGAGAACTGCTATATAAAGACATTTGAACAACTCAAATATGTGTTCAGGGTCGTTCGCTCTGAAGCAGACAGTTCTCATCGTGTAGAGCAGAACACAAAGACCTGTACAAGCAGAATCAGTTTGGTCACGTGGCTGACCATATCAACTCGCACACAAAGCCATATATTGCCTCGTTATCTTCCTTGATCTCTAATTTCGATTGTGTTTTATTTGGAAAGAATAAATGAAGCTTGTTCTTGCTCTAGTACAATGAGCTTGTAAAATAATTGTCATACTTAGCAAGAAGTACAATCAAGAAATGCCTGACTAGATCCATAAGAAAGTTGCAAACTTTATCAAAGTAAACGACAGCAGCACATCAGATTAGCTTTTTTACCCGTAAACAAATTTGCGAAGCTGAGTGAGTACGAAGTTGAGTCAATAGATATAATTGCACTGGGAAACAACATAAAGCAGGCACTTGTACGGTTTCCTTGGAAGTTGTACTTGACATAAGAGAAGTAGGGAGTGAAAATTGAACTGAAGGCCGCACCACGAAAAATAAGTAATAACAATATCACATGAAAACATTTGATCAAACGAGACTACTTAACAAGTATGATAAATTATAATGAAACGGAAGTTTCGTCGCACTATTTTCAGGCATTTCAAGAGTCTAAGAGACTTTCTTTTCTTTATTTTTCGAAAATAACGAACTACATTGCTGTCTGAATATTCTGTTGGGCTATTCTTGAAATTCGTCGTCCACTGACGATTATCAATTCGATAATCCAAGAAAATCAAAACTCTACTGAATTTTTCTTCGGCTTCGATTTTCGTAACCTTTTCTCAAAAAGGGATGGTCGAATGCTGTAACAAAACGCTTAAATTTTTCTTCAAAAAACTAAAATCACACAAATTGGGTGGAACACCAGGAAGCTATGACTTTCTAAAAATGGTACGACAGAACTCAAAAGTCCTAGGGGGCAGCGTTTGCTGCGAGCGTCTACAATCATCAATGAGTCGCTATACATAACATAAAAAATCAGTCAAAACCTTCTGTAAGCTTCCGCATTTCATCCCTCAGCTTACGCATTCGTTCCAAATCAGCTTGCGTTTTTTGATCATGACATCGTACGGAATCCAGCTACAAAATATTAAAATAGGGATATTCAGTTTGAATGGTATGAACTCAGAAAACAGCAAATCGTTTGATCAATTATAGAAAGCATCACAATTCATTTAGAAGAAGTGACGATTCATACCTCCTTCATGTAATTCTCACATTCCTGTTCTTTGGCCTTCAGCTTCGCTTGCATAGCTTCCGCCTGCAAGAAAGAAAGGAAACTAATGTAACTCAAATAAACGTACAGATGAAAACTGGAGCGCCAACGAAAGCCAGGTAGGCTCGGAAAAAGTCACTTACCTCACGCGACAACTTATCGATAGTGTCATTGCGAAGTATGACATCAGCATTGAGCCTCTTTACCTCGGTAGCATGCAGCTGTTGAAGAGCAGATAGCTCAGAACTGGCTTCTAGAAAGTTTGATGCACTTCCTCAAAAACGAATTGGGAAAGATAATAAACGCTTACTGTTCAGAGATTCAGTGAGTGAAGTTTTCTCCCCGCTGAGAGCTGTGACTTCGTTTTGACGCTCAACAAGGACGGATGATGTGCTACAAATTTAATTCTTTCTTCATTGGTTAGAGAGTTTCACATTCCGAATCCACTTACGATGGATTGAGAACTGCTCTCAAAAAAATGCGGCAGACATGTACTCACATTTCCAGTTTTTTCTTGAGATCGTCAGTTAATTTGTTCGCAGCCAAAACGAGCTCCCTCTCTTGTCCAATCTCAACTGCCAGATCATCTCGCTCCTGCTTCACTTGCTCCAAGCTGCAAAATCCAGATACTGGAACGGATCCACAATCCAATAGGTAGAGTACTAACTCCGCTTGCAATGCAGCGGTTTTCTCGTCCAGCAGCTGCCGCGTTAACTTCAACTCTTTAGTGGTCAATTCTAACTTTTCTCGTAAGGTTTCACAATCAGCAACCAGTGACCGGATCCGAGACATCTGAAGAGGAGTAATAGTAAAAAAAATAATAAACTCGAAGCCCTGGTATATGTGTTGACTAAATGATGGAACCCACGTCAGCCTCGTTATTATTGCCGCCTCGAAACTGCACCCGTAATTTCTCACTTTGCAGTATAGCTTGATCTTTTGCTGCAACCAACAACTCCAGCTCCCGTTCTCGCCTCTAAACGAATCTTCTGGCAGAGTTCTGAGAAAAAAAGAAGACTGCAAACCTCCAAATTCAAAATTTTTCTCTCATATGCGGCTAGGACGTCAGACATCTTCGCATCTTTCACCTGAAAATCAAGTTGCATAAAACATCAATATATGGATTCCAATGCAGTCGATGACGGAAACTGACACTCACATTGAATCCGTTCTTAATTTTTCTCAACAGCTCATCGAGTAACAAGTCACTTTCCTTGGAGTTTCGTGGGGGCGAAGAAGTAATCAGTGGAGCAGCAATGTCCATAGGTTCGCCGTTTCTAAAAAAAATAGATAGCACATACCTAAATACAAAAAATCACGAGTAAACTTTGATCACCTCATCTCACTTGAAGTATTAGGCGACGTAACTCGACTATCATGAAGCGACTGCTTTGCTAGAGAACAAGAGGCGATGAGATCACCCAGCCTGAAAACAGGTATTTCGAGAGATGCTAGGTCGATTAATGCTTATTTAATTGTTCTACAGGTAACAAACCATTTGCTGGGAAAAGCATGAAGTTGAGAGCAATGAGTGTACAGCACCAAAGCATTATGCACCATTTCGTGATCACCGTAACAAACAGCATAAGCAAGGAAGGCCACAAGGCGTGGATCCTAAACAAAATTTCACACTAACAATTACTCTATCACTGCAAACTCAAACCTTCAGAGATCTCCAATACTGGTCTTTATGAAGTTTCGAGAAGTCCTTCAGAGCGGCTAATAACCGCAGCAGCTCCAAAACAACTCCAACGCCGTATATACTGAACATAAATAGCTCAAATAATTTAATCTCTAGAAAAACAAAAAAGTTCTAACCTCCAGTCGGCTAATCGTTCCGTGCGTTGTGAAGGCGGCTTTTCCATAAAAACTACCACAGGATTGGTGATAAGTTGGGATTCAGAAATGTGCGCACAAAGAGCAGCTGTTGTCACATTCAGAAGTCCATTACGAAGCTCTTCTTCGGTACTGCACACTACAAGAAATTACATTGTTTCAAAACCTTAACAAATTTCACAATAAGGCATAACAACTATTATTATTTATTATTAATGATTACAATTATTATTTAACAACGAGGCATCTGAAGCCTCAATTATTGCTAAGACTGAAGTAAGTCCAGCTGTCATACCTTCAGCAAGTCGAAGTCCTTCAGTGATGCGTCGGCACTGGTAAAGAACCTCTGGCTTCGATGTTTCCACCGAGGTCTTCACTGCAGCGTCAACCAAAGCCAGAAGTTGCTCACCCGCTATCAAATCATGTAATGACTCTCCACTTTCAAGTTTCTCCTAAAAAAGTCTTGATGAAGTGAGTGAGTGGCTGACCGTAGAGGTGAGTATTGGGCAAGAACCTCGTCAGAAGTAGTGACTGACTAGTGAGGATTATGGTATTTGGTGAAAAGCTTTGTTTCAGTTTTCGTTAGATATGGTCTCCACGATGCCCATAAAAACTGAGAAGAAAGAAAGACTACAGTAAATAGATTTCGTGGGAGGGGGGGGGGGGGAAGAGATACCAAATGAAGAGCTGCAGCGTAAGCAATCGTGCAGGAAAATGACCAATGAATTATTCTGATATTTAGCGCCAGATGACTGGAGCTTCATGTGCATCGTAGCGGAGGTAAACTATATTCTTATACATGACACCATCACAGCTAAAGTCTTGCCAAGCGACAGTTCTTCTCTTTCCCAAAAAAGAGATTTCCCCACAACAATAACAGTTGGTAAGGGTGAAAACTCGACAAGCACTAACCACGAACCTTTACCAAATAGGTGAGTAGCCGTAACGCCTTCAATGGTACTTCTGGTAGCACAGCTTCTTCTATCGGTATCGATGCTGTAGAGGCTATGGCTAGAAGAGGTGTCGTAAGTCGGGCTTCGGTAGGTGCATAGCTCAGAATCGCGGAACAGACGGGCGAACAAAGTTGTGGGAGTGAGCAGAATGCTAACAAAACGTCGTAAACCTGAACAGAACTACTTTGTCGAGAAAGCAAGGTAAGTGCTATATTGTACATTACCTTCACAGTCTCTTCTAAGCGAGGGTCCAATACTACTAGCAATTCCGCTGTTTGTTGAATACACCGGTTAAAAAACGAGTAGTTCATCACATCTTTGCCAGTTGATGTTATGATAGGAGTAGAAGAGATCTTAGACGAATTATTGTAAAAAAGTGTGATACTTGAATTCAAGCAAGTATGTCAGTTCGATTGCATAGATTTCAATGACTTCAAAGAGCAATTTCAAAAAAAAAACTACCTACAAAACTAACCGTTTGAGTTTCAGACACTACGAGTCGGCGAAGAAGATCAGAAGCGATATGGCGGGTCATCAAACAGTCACCATCTCCCATGATCAGGACATTAAAAACGCATTGAAAAGTTTCATGAATGTTTTGAGGGCAGTAAACCTATAAACTATCTCAATCCTCCACTTCCAAAGTGCAGCAAGCTAAAATTTTCTTATAATAACATACCATGTCGCGAACTTTTTCCTCCAAATATCCGACAAGCACCAGAGATGAAACAACAACAATTCGTGAATCATGTGAAAGCAACTTGATGACTCTCCGAGAAAATGCTTTGTACGACGACTGCAAAAAAGTAGTGACGAAGGAACGACATTTGGTAAATGCAGAAGGAAACTCACTGATTTCTTTATTCTTCCGCATACAGATTTCGATCTTCTGGCGAGATTGCATAATATTGCCATACAGTAAGGCATCCACTCCACTTCAACTTCTCTGGTACTGAACTGAGAGAGCTAATAAGACAAAAGGAAACACCGACGGTCACTTACATTTCACCCATCAAAAAAGATATCAAATCGTTCGTCCACAAACCAAGAACCAAACATCTTTCATATGTTAGCACCTAAATGACAAAGATGTCGAAAGTGAGAAAGCACAAGCCCTAATAATTATTGTTCATTACCTGCAGTAACCGTAATATATCAATCAAATTTTGAGGCCCCAATTGCTCCTTCAAGGATAATTTCAAACATTCAAATACAGGTCCACAAAGGTGAAGATCACCGCAAAGGTATCGCCGTATGCTCACATTGTAGAGAGCTGAAAAATCAGTAAATTTCCAACCAGCCGACAAATTCTTTTCCGCAACGATGAAAGTACACGTACCCAATGTAAAGAGTAATCGCAGTAATTTCGACCGCGTCGCTGCACTTGAAGTATTTGCGGCTAAGATATGTGGACTGTAGTCAAGGAGTTCGGTGACGAACTGGTTTGACAATGACAATCGCCCTGTGAGGTCCACACCATCAAAGTGACGAATAAGATTCTAAATCGCAAAGTCTACCGCAGGAGTATAAACACGACAGTAAGGAGTGTAGTATTCCTGCCTGCAGCCATTGCAAATTATTGTAACTTCAAAAGTTTCATAAATGCACTTGGTAAACGCCACTTTTTGACGGCATTTTGTGTTATACTGACACTTACCAAAAACTGAGAATGGAAAGTTCGAATCATGAAACTTTAGAAATAGAAAGTAGTTCATACACATTTAAAGATTTCTCATATCAAAATGCTAGCTCTTCGATCTTCATATTTTTATGAAACCAGTCTAATAATACATAACAGGGAACTTTGGAGCAAAACCTCAAAATTTGGTTACCGTGATTTTATTTCAAAGTCACCTGACAAAAAGAGTAGCGCTGCTTTGAAAAGAAGATGGCGGACAGTCACAACATTTTTAGTTCAGCAAAACGCTAGGAAGCCAGTATGATAGCAATAACTACTATTTCAATTTGATTGAACTGCAATTGAGACTAAATCACTGTAGCACAAAGCCTTCCAAAAAAGCATTCTAGCATGCCAGTTCCCGACAACAAGAGAAAAGCCGATTCTAAATTCTAACCCCCAGTAACGCAACATCAACTGCAAGCTAAGGAAAGATAAAGGGAATAAATCCACAAATGAAGACAGAGTTCTAAAAAATATATCATGAGCCATACCTTCAACGCATCATCAAAAAGAGTGGTATTGTCCGCATTGGAGTCGGCAACATATCGGGCAGCAGCAGAAACGGCTCGCGATAGCGCGGCATCCATCCTACTGCGCCAGCTCGCAGCCTGAAGCCAGAACTTCAAAGGACCCAAGGAACATGCAAAATGAAATCGCAACAACACTTAAAACGGCATGTAACAAGTGAAGTGGGCAAGACCGAACACACAAACGGCGAAGCGCGGAATGTTTAGCTCTCACAAAGACAAACAATCGACGATACAAAGTGACGCATCGTCGCATTTACATTTCTTCTTGCGCCACACGAGCTATGAGAAAAACGTAACAGATACGTTGAAAATGGAATGAAAAGGTGCGATTCCTTCGGAACGATGCAAAACTGTATGTTTGGGGAACCTGTTCCGCGAAATGGCAGAACTGAAGAAAGGAGACTGAACCGGCGATGGGATCGTAGACGGACACGAATAAAAAAACGCACGAGTGGTTGAAGGTCATTTGGCATGAACCCAGAGCGCACGTCAACGAGGTATAAAGCGCATATGAAAGGAAAGAGCTATTCTAATGTCGTACTACGACCTTCTCTTTTGATTTGAACCATTACTTCTCACAGAAAAGAATCTTAGTATTAGGTTAGAAGAGTATGGATACTGAACATGACAAGAACAGATCTCGCAAGCTAGCAAAAACTTCTACGAAAATCTACTGCCGTTGTGCGATAAGCATACTAACAAAGGAAGCCTTTTTAGTCGAAGTGGCTCTTCCATATGATACTATATCGCTTTGTAGAGCATTGAACGGTGATTTCGAATGTCTTCTTTTCTGCGAATTCACTTTCCAAAAAAGTCATGAGTGTTGAAGTCCGAATCTGTCAAGCCTTGAGTGGCACAGAACAAGCGAACAGCTGTAAGAAACACCTAGCGGGATTTTAGAATCTGTGTTACTGCCTTATTGTCACTATACCTAATGAAGATACGATTACTCATTATCACTTTTTTTGTACAGCTTTTCGCTAATTTTGCGCCACTTATAGCATGACAAATTTGGTCTTGCAAACACTCATGACTTTTCCAGAGTTGTTTCGCACAAAAGGAGAAGATTGGAAATCAGCGTTCAAAGACCCGTCCAATGATATGGGTGCCATGTGGAAAGGCCAATTCGACTAAAAAGCTTCCTTTGTAAGCACTCCCCTTCCCCCGTATTCTTTTTAGAAGAATCCAAAATCTGTGGTATACTCGTTCACTCATGGTTGCGTAATTAATGTGATAATCTTGAGCTTTACGGATGTGTGCATGAGGTGATATGCGCTTAATCTGTGCGTTGAAAAAGCGCACGTAGAACATTCGCCTACGTTTTAAGCTTTCACCCAAGTCGAAGAAAGCAACGACTTTTTGTAGACAACGAACAACTGTGAGAGAAGAAAATGGGACAGGAAAGCAGGCACTAATTGCAGCAATCACCGTGTCCAATTGTGACCGCTTCATGCCCCACTATCCACTTTTTGGGTCAGACAGGAACAACGATCCCTTGAAGCATGAGAAATTGGCTGGATTCTCAATTACGCACAATTAGACATCCGTTCTTTTCGACGCTCCTATAAGCAGGCAGTTGTAAGACAATGGCTGACACCGTTACCTAAATTTAGTACACTTACTACAGATGACAAGAATGTATCTATATGGTGTTTTGTTGAAATTTATAGCACTCGAGGAGATAAGATGCTCGAGACATCCAAAAAAAGGAAGGACATGAAAAAATGCCTCATCAAAGTGGCAAAAGATAGATAGCACTCGAGATTAAAAGCAACGAATTGTCGATAATCTTTGATGGTATGCATAATCTCAAGCAAGAAAAAAGAATGATTGATCAAGACTAGCGAAAGATGTTCCGGTTTTTCGAATGTGTAGTAAAGGCCTCGAATGTAATCGGACATTTAGTGCAAGCGGTTTCACTGGGAAGCAAGTGCAATTAACATTATTAAGAACATGCACAGAAAAACTGTAATGGAATCTGTGAATGAACTCAAGAGTATGACAAGACACTGAGAATTTTCAAGACCTTGCAAATGAGATTCTATGAAGAAATTGGATATCTTAGGGAGGCGACAGCGCTTACGTTTACAAAGAAAGTACACTTCGAAGAAAAAAAAACTGAAAATGACACCGGACAAAAAAGCGGATGGACTTCTGTGTACCGTAAGGGACTCGTCATACTTCGCCGAAAAAAGCTCAAAAGTGCCGAAAGAGCCGGAACGCCCCCTTTTGTGCGCAAGTTTTGGCGCTAAGGCATGCGCGTTGATTTCGCAACCAAGTCATTTTTTACTTCATTTTCTGTCGCACATCCAAATAGGTCACAATCCTACCAGAAGTTCAAGGGGTGTTCCGGCTCTTTCTGGCATTTTGGGCTTTTTTAGGCGCTTTTGGTCTTTTTTGGGCTGTTTTCGAGGGAGGATAACGGGTCCCTAAAATGTATACCAGCTTCAATCGGTTCAAAATATCAATGGAAGAAAAATGGATATTTTCATCAAATTACGGTAGCGGGTGTAAGTAGTCAATCATAAACCCGATTTCCCAAATTTACAATCCTAATGAGCGAACTCCATGATCAATGCTAGGTTTAAACTGAGTGCGAACAGACATGATTTTGACAATTTTACATCAACAGAAAGACAACCCATAAAAATATTACGAGGCTTTACGAAATACTGATGAACAGTGAAGTATACCGAATGCAATTGTTAAAAAGGCAATTCTTGATTGGTGTTCTTAATTGGTACTTGATTTAGAGCAAGATACTGCAAAGGATGCGAATGGCTAAGAATTTGGAATTGCGATGCATACTGTGTTCGGAAGAACTGAGCTTTCCGCAAAACAAATACTAGGAGGCTGGCGCAAGGCTAGAAAAGAAACAAAGACGCCTTTCTATGTCTGATGCCGCACGAGTATCACAAATAAAAAATGACACACTGTCAAGATGGATGGAGTATATGCTACACTGAAAAAGTCAAAGATAAGGATAAGGCGGAAGTTCACATGAAAGGACAAAAGGTAAAGAAGTTCAGTTGTTTTGGCTGCACCGACATACAGCCTCGGACCAATGTTGACCCGAGCACTCAGCTTGCAAGGCTTCTAGGTGCTGAGTAAATAATTGTTACATAGACAGAAGGTTAGGGCTTCTGCTGGAACGAGATACCCGACTAGGTGCAAACAGCGCCAATGTTGGACTACTTCCTTCGGCGTAATAGGCAAACACGGTCAGATTTAGTTTCGAAGGTTACATAGGGCCAAGACATCTGTTCGTATGTCTTGGTATGCATATCCAACATGAAAGATAGGAATACGGCGTGTAGTCAAAAAATACAAAATTAATTTTTACATTATGATAAATCGTCCCAGTCCCAGGCTCTGGCTATATAACACCGCTCATAATTGGTCGAAGCAGTCACCGGATTCCCCGGAGTTCACCGAAATCCGCGTTGCATCACCATATCTTTCAGAGTGGACAACTGCTGAATTCAAAGCCCGTTCAACCCAGCTCGAAAGGGCGCATATCTGATATGTAGAAGTGGGTTAGAGGACTATACGTCGCCGAAAAAGGGCGGTCCCCGGTCATCTGCGACAAACACGCACCCTTGTACATGCGCGGACATGCGTTCCTGCAGGGAATCCGCGCGGGACTCTTCCAAATTCGGCGACATATAGCCCTCCACCCGTAGAAGTGCCGGTTTGGATACACGACAGTCAGATTTGGGTAGAGGACTATATGTCGCCGAAAAGGGTGGGGGGTCCCTGCGGTCATTTGCAACAAATACGCATCCTTGCGCATGCGCAGTGATCCGTTCCTGCAAGAAATCGCGCGATCCTCCCACGGCGACAATGGTTCTGCACCCTTCAGATTTCAAAGATTCTACGGTAGGTTACTCAGCGCGCACTGATCGAGAACGCCGGGTAATCTACCGTAACAAAAACCCAGAAAGATTTGCGAAATATGACCGCGTATTTACCGTGCACCCACCGTTCTCAGGCATTGCTACATATATCAAAGATGCGTCCCGTGCTGACTGAGTCCAACGGTGCCTGTGAATTTAGAACTCATCCATTCTGAACCAAGTAATGTTGATGCGAAGGGAATTTCGGTGGACTGCGGTGGAGTTCAGTGACTTTAAATTACACAAATCTCGGCAGGTCATACATGAGCAACTCCTGAGTGGCTAGCTACTTGAGTCTACAAAACTTCATAAGCATTTATAGTCTAGTTTAAGGCGACATTAGTGCACTTACACTGAGACAAATATATTCCCTAGAAAGAGAGCATGAAATGCAATTCGCAAGGTTCAAAAGCATCGATAATATTTCCATAGTTTTCAACACCCTAAGTTCTAGTCGAACTTGTTCGAAAAGCAGCGCTGTAATTTTTGCCCAGAAACTGGTTATGGGGCCCAACAAAGTGATTACTTTAGTAATGACGTCTGGGTCAAGTAACATAACACTATACAACACCATCACCATCTTTATGAACGAAATAGGCTACCACGAGTATTTTCCTTAGTACGCCGTATAAGGCCTTCACTGATATATGATGACAATGGCGTCTTTGCTTGTCTAAGACGAAATGTTTGTTCAAGATGGTTGTTGATCTTTCAAAAAGGAAGTACAGAGCAGTGAGAAAAACAAATCCGGTTCAAAGACGACTTTTCCCGGGTCTCGCCAAACGACAGGTAAACACAACATGGTCGTCGACGGGCAAAAAGATAAAGCGGTAGCATTTCGCTGTTCACTTTGATGAAAACAGAAAAAGGATTACGAAGTTTGTAAGGATTCACGCTAACAACAGAGCAGTGGATGGCTCAAGCAGACAAGACAAAGAAGAAAGGACAAGGCGATACTGATTCCTTGAGAAAAGTCGAAACACTGCATTAGGACTTATGGTCGGTCTCAAATTTAACTAAATCTATAAATTCTATCAGATAGCTTGATACGCACATCTTACGTATATACTAGCAGGAGAGGAAGGGCTGAAGAAGTAATCTTTTGTCGCACTCATACAGAATTGAAGAGCAAAAATATGCAAAGGCAAGATATGATACAAAGTAGTAAGTGTCCGATATATAAATTACATGCTTCTCTCCGAATAAGCAAATAGCAACTGAAAAGCGACCACTTTCCTGTAGAAAAGTTTCCCTATAGACGTATACATGCGTGCTGTCCATAGGTGTAATTCAAACCAACGAAAATGTGATTTCATTGTGCTTCTCTAGAGCTAATGCCTGACCCGGATCGAAGGCGATTGCAACTGACGATCCCACTAGCCACGCCCACTCTATCGCGTCCAATTTTGGACGAGTTCACGCTGTTCCTCAAAGAAGAACATGAAAAAGAGAATTTTGGAGGCGCTGTGGCTGTGCAGTTTCTGCCGTTTGCTAGGCAAAGAGTTATTCCTCAAGGTTTGACTTTTTGTCGTTTCTGTTTTGGTAAAGCTATGTACATAGAGCTATATATTGTATTATGTTGGACCTACCGCATAGTCATCCATCCGACTGTAGTGGTCGATACCTTCAAATTCCTGAATCATCTTTAGGGTTGCATCAGGTGTTCTACATGACTTTTTTATCGCTGGGAGTAAATTTGGATTTGAGTTCTGATTCACAGATGCGCCAGATCATCTGCACTCCCCCCCCCCCCCCCGTATTTCGCACACTTCGTGGCCTGAAATTCCTTACAGTAACCCTAAGTTCACTAGATGCAAACGAACCCTGCACCGTCCTTGCTTCCGATCTTCCTTCACTCAAATAAAAGAGTCAATTCTTATCTGTAGCAAAAATGTAGAGAAAGTCTTCCAGAAAAAGTTTACCAGCACACTTCCATTATTTAGCAACTAGTACGGGAATCTCCCACTCTTCAAAGCCTTGAATTCGAATAAATGACTGCCATCTTCACTTTCTTTCCACCCTCGCGATGGCCGCGCGCCCTCATTGATCGAGTCGCCGCTGCCTCCATGCTCGTCCTGCGTGGATTATGGCCCTTTAATATGGGGTGAAAATGTTTTCCCGCAAATTTCGAAACTTTTGGTGTTCTGCAGGCTTGTTTTTCTTTTTAATCTTTGTTTTGTTGATTTGATCCAATGCGGCAGGAGTGGTCAAGAAAGTTGATTTTCAGTAATGTTCTGCTTATCGAAGTGTCATTGCCCACTAAAGTCGATTCACGCTGGCCTTGTTTATTGATTTTGGTGGGGAGTTGACGTCGCATTTGAGCATTCTCCAATTTGCTAACAAGGTATAGTAAGCAGGCTTTAGATTGATAATGATGAGGACTGTGAATTAAGTTTGGGAATCGCTGACTATGTATATCTATGTAAATATCTCTCTATTTTTGTGTTTCGCTAACTGTGCTCTTGAAAATCTGTGAGGTTTACCAATATGCCAATATTGTATTGATCTTGGTTGTCTATGCGGTAAGCTCTTTTCATTACATTTACAGTATGCAGTGTAGTAAGCATCTACTGAGTATGATTGACTCCAAGATTCGCATAGAGCGGCTTCCCTTATTGTTGGGATAAACTTGTTAAACATCTACGTTATGGCATTGTTTTTATACTCTCTTGCTATCAAAAACCGCCACGATTTGAGCTGCGACGACTCCTCTCTATACGAATCATGGAGCCAATGATACTTATGCTCGGTTATGTTCATTTACTTTTTATATGTTGACTGGTGCTTGGGGGAGGAAAACGACGAGTGGCGTAGTGATGTGAGGTGCCGTTAAGATCCCGAGTGAGAAATCTGCCCTTGAGTCAACCATACCCACCACTCACCCTAGAGAAGAATTGATATTAGGCCCCGGCCAGACTTCGCTCAAAAGCGCCCAAAGGCTCTCAAACTTCTCCAAGTCTTTAATCTATCCTCACACGAAAAAGTGAAGAGACGTTGGAGAAATTTGGGCGCTTTTGAGCGAAGCCTGGCCTGGACCTTAGAATACTTTGAAAGCACTGACGTAAATTTCTTTCTTCAATTATGTTATCGAGAATGCTCCCGTATGCATGTTGCAGGTCTTATCAAAGGTAGCGATTTTATTCGTAAAATTTGCTAATTCGATAGTTTTGCGGTTGGCATCAAATTTCCGATATGCTGTGCATCGTTCGTTTTCTCTTGCTAATTAGTCCAACTCTTTTTTCTTTAGTTTGTTAATTATGTTCAATTTATTTAGTGACTCGGATTGATACGGTTTTAAGGTTATCTCTTCATCCCTAGTGAAGTTATAAGCCACTTATTATTTACGGAACGCAGTCAAAAAAGGCTGCATTTTAAAGTGCAGGTCAATGCCTTGGTGCGACCTTGAGGTCGTCATATGTTCATGAAAGCAATTGCGCGATGTTGCGTAACTCTCATTTTCGCAGCTTTTGAGATACGAGGAAAATAAGTGGTAGAAAATGAATTGTTGCTTCCTTATTTCAGACATGTATGGTCTGCCTTATAGCTTAGAGCAATTTGTTTATTTTGCAGCACTCATCAAAAATGATCTCATTCAGGAACTACTCGGAATGCTCCCTCAAAAGCGCATTCTCTACGCTTTTGAGGGAGCATTTCGATAAAGCTGTATCGTGCTCCTGTCATAGTGCGTTTCTGCTGCTTTCTCTGCAATGCTTTTGATCTGTTCCGGTTTGGAATATGTGGTGCCACCCGCTTGCAGTTACTAGTTACAAGCGAGTTCCTTTTCTTCCTTCACCAAGATCAACAATTTCAGCGAGCGATCGAAAATTTCTTCTGTTGTCCTAAGGATGACATTATCACCTCGTTGGTAGCCTGTTTCTTTCATGGTTAATTTTCAACGTCCGCTCATTTTCATTTATGATTTGTACGTTTTCTGCTACACCTACCTTACTACTATATGAACAGGTTACATCTGCGAAACCATCTCCCAAAAGATTTCAAAACGATTGGAAGGATGATGGATTTCGAGTTCTATAGGAATAATCCACCACCGCCGTTTTTGTGCGTGGACGTGTGCCAAATATCGCGTGAGTGGATAAGATAAGATAAAGTGACCAAACTTTGGTGATCCTTAGAATTTGCTTTTCAGCTTCTCAATCAGCTTCAACCCTTTCTGTTGCTTCAGCAGGTGCGAATTCGGCTAGCCCACCTTCTGAAGTGGCTGAAGCCGCCAGCTCAGCCGCCACTGAACCCGTTCGAGGTACTTGGCGACAAATACATTGGTACACGAAAAATGTATTGGTTTATAGAGTCGTCCATCGACAATCTTCCCGATAGGGCCTTGATCCATTGTGCACCAGATGAAGCCACGATTGTAAATTTTTCCTTTCTTTACTCTCTGTTAAATGAAAAGTTTCCAACTCATTTTAGGAGCGAGCTTCTGCAAATCTGTCAAAATGTCAGGAGGAATTGCGTGAAATGAAAATGGAGGCAATCAAAGCGCGCCTGTTAAGAAATGAAGAAAGACGATTAGCTCGCCTAGAAGCAGAGGTGAATTTCGTGTAAAAATTTGTGTGGTATCGCATCTGAATCTAAGGCTATTGTATCCCTTTTTTGTGTCATCTGGGTTTTTGTGTTCTCAATTGCCAGTGTGAAGTTAATTAGTCTTTGCACATGAAGCCGTGCAGGAAGTACTGTGTTCAGACCTCATGTTTACAGAGAGCTCACTTAGATGGAGTGGGAAGAACTTTAGCCACCCTTCGAGGAATAGAAAATCCTGAAGACTACAAAAAAGAAAGAATTGTTTTGGATTCGAGAGGTGTACCGATCTCACAGCCACGTCGTCGGGTCAGAAGCACTTATGGTAGGAGTTTAGTGTATCCCGATCCCGATACTTATATATGCACGAAATGTTCGTTTACAGGTGGAGGAGCTGTCGTCATCCCTACTAACGTGCAGTCGACTCTTGACTTAGATCTGCCTCCACTGCCTCCGAGACCCACAGATCCTGCGGAAATCAGAAAACTTGTCCGAAGCAAAATGATTCGCTGCAAAGTCTGTTGATGTTATCTAATCGGCATCGTAAGCCAAGAACCCGTCTTCAGGTTTGTGGGAATCGATTTGGACAAAGAAATCTTCTGGAACGGCACTTGCGGGACAAACATCATGTGGAGTACCTTGAATATCTGTATCAAGAAGAGTTAGAAGTACAACGGCAGAGGTGAAGAGCATCGATTTGCTGGGCTACAATGTACAACTTGGGTTTAGGGAAGAGGAGTTAGAGCGAAATAGAATTGATGAATTGACTTCGGGTGGTTTTATACCTCCTCAGTCGGCCATAGAATCGAAAAGCTATGAAGTCGATGTACAAGAGTGAGTCCACTTTCTTTTCCACTGAAACAGGATTGAATCAAACACTTCAGAATTCCTCTTCCTGGGGAGTTGTCCAATGGCATAGTTGCAAGGTTTGATGCTAATGGCTATCTCCGACAGCCAAAAAGAACTTTTCGCAAAAAGGTGATTTTCCTTGGCACGGTTCATCTCTCAGATTCAAGAAAATATCGTTTAGGTCTCACCGCAATGCCCTTTTTGCGACAAACGTTTCAGAAATGAGGTTTCTCTGAAGAAACATTTTGTAAAGAAACATCCCGAGTGTGTCGAATTTGTGCAATGCCTTGATTGTTTCAAGTGCCTTCCCGACAAAACTCAGCTTGCTGATCATGAATGTGATATGGTAAGCGTTGGTAAAGGTAGATTTTGCAACTTCCAGATGAGATCCTTCTCATTTTTAGACGTGGTTGTGCTATGAATGTTCGCCAATACAAAATATGTGCACAGAGCAGAGGTTTACAAATCATCGAGCCAAGTTCCATCGTGGAGCAAACTCAGGCTTTCGATGCAACGAGTGCAATCAGAAATTCCTCACTCCCAGAAAACTCAGGTAGGTCATGGAACTTCTCTGTACTGAACTTACTGAACTGCTTGGGCAAATTTGCTGGATCTTCAGGAAGCACCGAAAGATGTCACATGTATTTGTGAAGACATATGCCTGTCACTTCTGCGAGGAACTCTTCACTAGTGAAGTTTCGGTAAGTCATCGCATTCGGTTAAGCTTAAAGATGCAATGGCACATAGTTCGTAATTCTAGGTCATGACTCATGAACGAATTCATACCGGTATTATCAAGTTCGAATGTAAAATCTGCGACTTCCGTTGCAATAGATATATTCAAATGGAAAATCACAAAAAGGTAAGCGGTACTGAGAAGTAATGCATCACTGCTACATCTCTTCAGGAAGATCATGGCTACTTATGCTCGATCTGTCAAGAAAGTTTTGGAGAATGGGCGGAAATCAAGAATCATACTTTATCGAAACATGGAGGTTACCTCACAAGCGATACGTATACGGGTAAAGAAAGAATTTTTATTGTCTCTCTGTTTGGTGACTATGATGCAGTCACAGCTCCTTCCTTATGGCTGGTACTTGATACCGAGCAATTGATTTTGCTAAACTTGATTTTGCATCATTTGCACCGCGCATCACAGACGGGGTGCACAAATTTAGATCGATTGCATCATAGCGGCTGTCGTACGGTTTCAGTTTTAGCTTTATCCATTTTGCAAGTTATTACCGGGATTGAAGGACGTTTCGAGATACTCTTAAGAAAGAAGATTGGCGACCTGAAAGAAACAAAGTTCTTTCCAGTGATTTTCAACATTTCTATAAGTAACAATGCCGATTTTTACGCATTTCACAGAATAAACAATGTTACCTTTATATTTGTATCATGTTGTAGATTGGTTTGTACCGCTTGATCTTTTCTGTTCCTATATGATTTGAAATTCACTCCCCATACGCAGTTTTTGAACATGATCTTTTTAGGCTACATTGAATCTCCGCGAGTTTGGGCATTGTTCAAAGGAGACTGAATTGGTGTCATCGTCGTATGTGCAGAATTTGCCATTTTCATTGGCTACCTCCGTCATAAGTCATTGTAGTGTTGTCTAAATTAGTTTTAGTTTACCTTTCCTTTTGGTCGTATCTCATAAGCATAGTCTTTTTTGTTGTTATAGTTAGTTGATATTACGTGTGATATAGCCGATGATTGTATTGAATAGCGTATATGTACCAGTCTAACGGTTACGTTATCACTTGCTTTATCCAATTTGTTTACATTTGCATCTATTTGTTTTCAATGAAGTTTACAAACTTTTTACTAGGGCCTTCATTGTTTTAATCATTTCACATACTGAGATTTGAAATGGACACAACACAGTTACACTTTCGATGACATTGTATCTTCATTGTTTCAGGATCGCCGAGATTGGATTGGAATCTTTGGAGCTGGACGTGCGATTATGTTGCCAGAGAAGATGATAAAGTTTAAGTGGCAAGGCACTCATCGCTTGATAAGTGCTAGAGTTGCTTTATCCGAAAGGGCTTGTAACTTCATGATCGTCGTAATCTGCAGGTTTTGGAAAATGTTTGCAATTAGTGTTTTACATCATGCGATTCAGTGCTAAGTCGAGGTTTGAAAGGAAAAAATTCTTCTTGCTCAAATTTTTTTTTTTAATTACAACCAGCGAGAGGTTTTTATTGCGAACAGCAAGTTGTAGGCTATTTTTTCTCTCAAACCACGTGCATTACAGATTGAAAATTATATTTCTATGGCAGATAAGGTCGCATTCGACAGCATTGTGAAACGGGTTGTTATTTTTTTCTGTGATCTTAGGCATAAATTATAGAAAAGACTTTTCTCACCACCGGAATTCGACTGCTGTTACATATCACTCACAATGTACGACGCCAGTTTGAAAACAAAACATCATAGATGCGATGAGCATGTAAGCAACGCATTGGAAACTTGAAAACCTGGTCCTGCCTTATCGACTATTTACCTGCGATATCGCCGTAATATGCGTACCACAGCTACTGCTTTGCTCAGAAGATGTCATTCTGATGATCCCTGGTCTAAGGACATGGTACATATCGCTTGTTCTCCAGCAAGATTCCCGTGGGTACCACATCATGCTGCCTTTCCTCTTTTCAACATGTTAACCTCGGGCAGTTCTGTTGAAATGTTAGGAAACTTGTCAAAAAGAGCGACAGGCAGCGTCGCACCACGTACAGTTGAGTAGATTCAGCGGTAAATATAGTGTGCTTGCACAGAAGGTGAGATGCGGTAAAATTTGCGCGTGAAGAAATAGCTTCGACTGTGACGCCGGCCAATTGCGCGCCCACGATTCCCGCAATACTGGCGTGGCTACTTGTTCACGCGCAAATTTCACCGCATTTCACCTTCTGTGCAAGCACACTATATTTACCGCTGAATCTACTCGACTGTACATACGCACGCTGGTTCAGGGGCACACAGGATACAGTTGTAGATACCTACCTCTAACTGATGCTTCTAGGGCCGGGACATCTCTTCTCTTGTAGCAGTATGCAAAGTTCCATACGATTTTCTGGTACAAGTATCAATTACGGAGGGGAGGGGGGGGGGGGAAGGGGTAGTGCCGTTAAAGATGTTTGTGTGTGGTTGGTAGACAACGATATGGAACGCACACAAAGGTTGTTTATAGTGATCGTCGGCAGCGCGATGGCGTGAATGATACTGCGCGATGTACTCATCGAAGGCAACAGAGCAGGAAAGCGAAAGGCCAGGCGGGAGGGGGGGGGGGGGGAGTGAGGCTTTTAACATTTTTTGCGAATAGAACTTGAAGTAGTACTAAGTCTACAAGTTTATTTTATGTCAAAAATCCAGGCTTCTGGCTGTCTCTCTATTTTACAAAAGTTTTAGTGGATGCTGGAAGACAGAAACTTCTTCTGTTTTAGATAAGGTTAATTTGTTTTTAGGAATTTCGGTGCCTGCTAGTAGAGTAACAATGGTGAAGCGCTATGCTTATAAGGAAATCGATTTAGTCGAATAGCATCTGCTCGAAAAATTGAACAAGTTGGAACAGCCAGTATGCAGCTCATGAAAGCAGGTATTCGATATTGACAAACGTGTTCAGCTGGCGCCCGATATTATTCGGGGGATATCCAGCTGGGCACAAGCGCGACCTTGCGTGTTTATGATCGGCACATTGGAAAAGGTCGTCGTCAAGGAGGGACTTGTTTATGTGAACTCGTCATGGTCATGAGTTTATGTGGGTGAGGGTCGCTTATAAACATTTCTGGATGAAGTTGTTTGAGTTGGCTTCACAAATCATGAAGTTTATATGTGGAATGGGCATGCATATTTTTGAAACCGGATGTGGAATGAATAGACAGTATCTGAGTATCAAAATATTCGGCGTTGCGTGCTCGATGAACTGCCTAGGCGGAGCATTTTATGGCCGACGAGCGCCCTTGTCATGGTACTGCTGGCCTCAAAGTTTTTGAAGAGAAAACAAATAGTATAGGACAACTTGTATGCGATTTAAGGTAGACGGACAAGAAAACGCTAATTGGGGCATTTGGGATTGAGCTATTGATTAATTGATGACTAGATGAATTTTGAAGCAGCTTAAAAGCAACCGAAGTTTCGTACTACTTTGAGGATCTACGGTATCTTAATTTTTGATTCCATTCATTCTCAATACACTCATGTGTGCCATGAATGAATTTTGATATAACTTGATGTGCCATAATGCTAGGTAATTTTCACGTTTTGTTGAGCGGGGAATTTTTGATATCAGATCCTAGCAATAGCATTGAACTTTGTGTGAATTTTGCTTGCCTTAGGTGGAAGAAGGCGAAGCATGAACAGGTGCAGTCCAGTCATTTTGTATCTTATATGTGTCTGGACACTGCACACATTGCACCGTTCTTGCTTGGTATCATCTGCTTTTCGAATACCGTCAGCTAGAGAAATTTAGGTTTTTCAGAACACGTGTACAAAACGCCCAACAAAATCCAGGAGCTACAGTGGGTGTAGTATGTGAAGTCCACATCTTATGAAATGACTATCTTGTAATTGCTGCACGTGTGCGCTTACACTATCGGACAGCTATTTTCCTTAAATGGCTGGTATCATCTCTTATGCAGTTTCCACGTACTCATCACACGATAGATATGACTCGTGTACAACAATCTAACTACTCTGTTTCTGGTCAGGAGGGGAAGGTAGAGATTAGAACCAAGCTATGGACGGTGTATCAGCAAAGATCTTTATTAACGTAGATATCTACATCGCTCTTTAGAAGAAATTGGAGAAAGATGATCGACCAGTGTTGCTGTCAGATGAATTTTATATGGGAAGATTAAAGCAAACTTGTTCGCTAAAGCTATTGTCTGTAAGATTTGGTGCAGTCGACTTGTACTCGGACTGAAGTGAATATTTCGATGAAAAAGCAGAGCGAAGGCATATGAATTCTCGGGAGTTTTTGTTTGAGGACGCGAAGGGAAACTTAGTAATTTCTTTGAAGTCAAATGGATCGTTTTCACAGTAATTCATGCACAGAATGTCTACTTTCAAAAGATCCAAGTAAGTTCCAAACACGAAATATGTTGTACACTAATTGGTTAGGTGTGCGTTTTTGGGGCCAGTAAGCAAAAACATCTCGGAAAATGAAGATTGCATCTATACTTCCTAATACTATCGGAGGTCCACCGGGGCAGTAATAAGTTACGCAATTTGCCGCCAAAGCAAACTAGGATAAAAAGTGATCATGAGGTAACGAAATACTGAATAAATAATTATTTCATACATACTTCCTATCAGAAGTTCACGCTAGATTTTATGTTGTTCTGCGTCGTAGAGATCACAAGAACTCGTTTAATTTAATGTTCAGTAAGGTGTATTGGCTAAGTTATCAGACAGGAGGAGAAACTAGGCGGTCAGTTTACATCTACTATTTCCTGATTTCAGAAGCCAGTTCTGTATGTAAAATGCATACTGTGAAGTTATACGCATGAACACGTAATTCTCCGTTTGTTACTGCTTCGTAGTCATTTCGAGATCTGTAAATCATTTTCAGCCACTGTACACTAACATGTTTTGGTGAAACGTCATTGGCAGAAAGCATGAGTATTTTTTTTGTTATTCGCGCAAGTAAATTTCCTCTTTTTGGCATTGGTCAGCATATTTCTGCAAGGTTCTAGTTATCCTTGGTCGAGAGATTCCATTGTGTTTGTTCAATGTTTTGACTCACTTTGCTTTACAAAGATGTGATCATCTAATTCCATTCTTTTAAATTCTGCAGGATTAATAACGGTCAACAATACTTCTAACGTTTTAAAACATCATATAAAAGGCACAGAGTAGCTCTGATGTCAATTGGTGTATGTTATTGTATCTGTTTTGCATTCTTACGTTTCCTTTTTTTAAAATCTTATATTTCTCGAAACTGTAAAACGAATCAGGCTGAATTTGTGACCAATATAAGGATCAAAATATCGAATTGCATTAGCTATCCTACTCAGAGGATCTAAGAAGAAGCTGTGTAGACTTGACTTTTCGACAGATAAAGCTATGATTTATCCTTCTGTGCAGTTTCAGGCGATTTTAGTTGCAACGGATTTGGCATCATGTAAATTGTCTAAGCGCATTCCAGCTGTACAGAAGATAGAGTGTCTCAACGATCTACGAAAGTTACACATCACACATAATGTATTTGAAATCTTCAGTGCTGGAAGGCATGTGGGAAATTGCCAGATCGCGGGGAAATTGAATTTCTTGAAGTGTGCCCGGGGCCATACGATGTGACATCCTACTGAAGTGCAGTAAGCTATAATAGGGCATCAACCACATATGTCATCTGTTTGGTGCAAGAGTATTTTGACATGTAACAAACTGAACACATGGATTACGAGTTAGCATCCCCAAGGTTCGCTGAAAACAAGAGGGCTCGGATTTGTCGGATCACTATAGGAAACTGAGATAGCTGGACTATCATTAGCTGAGAGTTGTAAATCTTTTTCTTAGTTTAAGGAGGAGTAGTTGTTGACATAATAATTGACATGAGTTTATTAGATTGAAGGCCTTGTTCCATAAAACGCCCTGGTAGCAATCATGAACCCATTTTGATTCACGGACTAAGGTTCCGAATGATTTTATTGTAACGGCGCTTTCAAATTTTTGCATCAAAAAATTCCCATAACTCCCCTCCCAGATGCGCTTTGCAGATACCGAAAGTAGGTTTAAACTCAGCGTTCCTCTATAAAACAGTATACATTTTGTTTGGAAACGCCACTTCGACCAAGTATCCATCACTTGTTAGAGGT